ATGTTTAAGAGACAGAAAAAAGACACCAGCAATCCTACCATCATGTAAAACAATTACAAGCTTTCGTTTTACACTCGCTTGGCAGTACGGTAGTACCTCCCTGGGTGGTTGCTGTCTACCAACCTAGTACCTATATTATTATTATTGTTAATAATAATATTTTCATATAGTCGGACTTGAGTCCTGGAAATGGGAAGTACAATGCCTGCACTTTAAAGGAGGGGTTTGGGATATTGGCAGTTTGGAGGGATATGTTGTGTATCTTTATATGTGTATGCTTCTAGACTGTTGTATTCTGAGCACCTCTGCAAAAACAGTGATAATGTGCGAGTGTGGTGAAAGTGTTGAATGATGATGAAAGTATTTTCTTTTTGGGGATTTTCTTTCTTTTTTGGGTCACCCTGCCTCGGTGGGAGACGGCCGACTTGTTGGAAAAAAAAAAAAAAAAAAAAAAAAAAAAAATAATAATAATAATATCTTTATTTACTACAAGTACATGTACATGTACAGTTAGAGTAAGAGGTAGATGGGAAAAGAGGAAGGTGGCAACAACAAGTAAGAGGGAGGTGAAAGTGTATAAACTAAGGGAGGAGAAAGTTCGGGTGAGATATAAGCGACTATTGGCAGAAAGGTGGGCTAGTGCAAAGATGAGTAGTGGGGGGGTTGAAGAGGGTTGGAGTAGTTTTAAAAATGCAGTATTAGAATGTGGGGCAGAAGTTTGTGGTTATAGGAGGGTGGGGGCAGGAGGAAAGAGGAGTGATTGGTGGAATGATGAAGTAAAGGGTGTGATAAAAGAGAAAAAGGTAGCTTATGAGAGGCTTTTACAAAGCAGGAGTGTTATAAGAAGAGCAGAGTATATGGAGAGTAAAAGAAAGGTAAAGAGAGTGGTGAGAGAGAGTGCAAAAGGAGAGCAGATGATAGAGTGGGAGAGGCACTGTCAAGAAATTTTAATGAAAATAAGAAAAAATTTTGGAGTGAGTTAAACAAGTTAAGAAAGCCTAGGGAAAGTATGGATTTGTCAGTTAAAAACAGAGTAGGGGAGTTAGTAGATGGGGAGAGGGAGGTATTAGGTAGATGGCGAGAATATGTTGAGGAACTTTTAAATGTTAAGGAAGAAACAGAGGCAGTAATTACATGCACTGGTCAGGGAGGTATACCATCTTTTAGGAGTGAAGAAGAGCAGAATGTAAGTGTGGGGGAGGTACGTGAGGCATTACGTAAAATGAAAGGGGTTAAAGCAACTGGAACTGATGGGATCATGACAGAAATGTTAAAAGCAGGGGGGGATATAGTGTTGGAGTGGTTGGTACTTTTGTTTAATAAATGTATGAAAGAGGGGAAGGTACCTAGGGATTGGCGGAGAGCATGTATAGTCCCTTTATATAAAGGGAAAGGGGACAAAAGAGACTGTAAAAATTATAGAGGAATAAGCTTACTGAGTATACAAGGAAAGGTGTACGGTAGGGTTATAATTGAAAGAATTAGAGGTAAGACAGAATGTAGGATTGCGGATGAGCAAGGAGGTTTCAGAGTGGGTAGGGGATGTGTAGATCAAGTGTTTACATTGAAGCATATATGTGAACAGTATTTAGATAAAGGTAGGGAAGTTTTTATTGCATTTATGGATTTAGAAAAGGCAAATGATAGAGTGGATAGAGGAGCAATGTGGCAGATGTTGCAAGTATATGGAATAGGTGGTAAGTTATTAAATGCTGCAAAGAGTTTTTATGAGGATAGTGAGGCTCAGGTTAGGGTGTGTAGAAGAGAGGGAGACTACTTCCCGGTAAAAGTAGGTCTTAGACAGGGATGTGTAATGTCACCATGGTTGTTTAATATATTTATAGATGGGGTTGTAAAGGAAGTAAATGCTAGGGTGTTCGGGAGAGGGGTGGGATTAAATTTTGGGGAATCAAATTCAAAATGGGAATTGACACAGTTACTTTTTGCTGATGATACTGTGCTTATGGGAGATTCTAAAGAAAAATTGCAAAGGTTAGTGGATGAGTTTGGGAATGTGTGTAAAGGTAGAAAGTTGAAAGTGAACATAGAAAAGAGTAAGGTGATGAGGGTGTCAAATGATTTAGATAAAGAAAAATTGGATATCAAATTGGGGAGGAGGAGTATGGAAGAAGTGAATGTTTTCAGATACTTGGGAGTTGACGTGTCGGCGGATGGATTTATGAAGGATGAGGTTAATCATAGAATTGATGAGGGAAAAAAGGTGAGTGGTGCGTTGAGGTATATGTGGAGTCAAAAAATGTTATCTATGGAGGCAAAGAAGGGAATGTATGAAAGTATAGTAGTACCAACACTCTTATATGGGTGTGAAGCTTGGGTGGTAAATGCAGCAGCGAGGAGACGGTTGGAGGCAGTGGAGATGTCCTGTTTAAGGGCAATGTGTGGTGTAAATATTATGCAGAAAATTCGGAGTGTGGAAATTAGGAAAAGGTGTGGAGTTAATAAAAGTATTAGTCAGAGGGCAGAAGAGGGGTTGTTGAGGTGGTTTGGTCATTTAGAGAGAATGGATCAAAGTAGAATGACATGGAAAGCATATAAATCTATAGGGGAAGGAAGGCGGAGTAGGGGTCGTCCTCGAAAGGGTTGGAGAGAGGGGGTAAAGGAGGTTTTGTGGGCAAGGAGCTTGGACTTCCAGCAAGCGTGCGTGAGCGTGTTAGATAGGAGTGAATGGAGACGAATGGTACTTGGGACCTGACGATCTGTTGGAGTGTGAGCAGGGTAATATTTAGTGAAGGGATTCAGGGAAACCGGTTATTTTCATATAGTCGGACTTGAGCCCTGGAAATGGGAAGTACAGTGCCTGCACTTTGAAGGAGGGGTTTGGGATATTGGCAGTTTGGAGGGATATCTTGTGTATCTTTATATGTGTATGCTTCTAGACTGTTGTATTCTGAGCACCTCTGCAAAAACAGTGATAATGTGCGAGTGTGGTGAAAGTGTTGAATGATGAAAGTATTTTCTTTTTGGGGATTTTCTTTCTTTTTTGGGTCACCCTGCCTCGGTGGGAGACGGCCGACTTGTTGAGAGAGAAAAAAAAAAAGAAAAAAATGTACAAGGTATACAGGCCTAGCTGACAACAATGACATACTACTATATAGAAAGCCCCTTGTTATGCTCCGCATGTCGGGCAAATTAGGTCAGTGTCCCAGGATGCGACCCACACCAGTCAACTAACACCCAGGTACCCATTTTACTGATGGGGAACATAGACAACAGTTGGAAAGAAACACGCCCAATGTTTCTACTCTGGCTGGGAATTGAACCCAGGCCTCACCGTGTGAAGCGAGAGCGTTAGCCACCAGGCCACCATTATTCTTTCTTTCAACACACCGGCCATATCCCACCGAGGCGGGGTGGCCCAAAAGGAAAAACGAAAGTTTCTCCTTTTACATTTAGTAATATATACAGGAGAAGGGGTTACTAGCCCCTTGCTTCCGGCATTTTAGTTGTCTCTTACAACACGCATGACTTACGGAGGAAGAATTCTGTTCCACTTCCCCATGGAGATAAGAGGAAATAAACAAGAACAAGAACTAAAAAGAAAATAGAAGAAAACCCAGAGGGGTGTGTATGTATATGCTTGTACATGTATGTGTAGTGTGACCTAAGTGTAAGTAGAAGTAGCAAGACGTACCTGAAATCATGCATGTTTAAGAGACAGAAAAAAAGACAGCAGCAATCCTACCATCATGTAAAACAATTACAGGCTTTCAGTTTACACTCACTTGGCAGGATGGTAGTACCTCCCTGGGCAGTTGCTGTCTACCAACCTACTACGTATATTATTATTATTATTATAAAAAAGAAGCGTTAAAACTCTTACATAAATACTGTTAACCTATATGTTTCACTGTAAACACTTGTCTACAACCCCTGACCCTAAAGCCTCCCTGTTCATCTGCGATCCTGCTCTCCATCTTACTCTTAATTCTTTCCATAACAACTCTACCATATACTTTACCAGGTATGCTCAACAAGCTTTTTATTTTTTAAACATGCCAGCCCCCCGCCCCCCCAAAAAAAAAACACACTTTTACCAACATTTACACAATATCACTGTCTCTGCAGAGGTACCCAGATATGACAGTTTACAAATCACTCCAAAGACCCAATATCCCAAACCTCTCCTTTAAAGTGCAGGCATTGTACTTCCCGTCACCAGGACTCAAGCCGGGGTAACTGGTTTCCCTGAATCCCTTCACAAAATATTACCCTGCTCACTCTCCAACAGCTCATCATGTCCCAAAAACTATTCATCTACATTACTCCTATTTAACATGCTCACGCATGCCTGCTGCATGTGCAGGCCCCTTGCACACTAAACCTCTTATATCTCCTCCCTCCATCCTTTCCTAGGATGACTCCTACCCCTCCTCCTCTCCACTACAGATTTATACACCTTCCAAGTCAACCTATTTTGCTCCATCCTCTCTAAATAACCTCAATAACCCTTCTTCAGCCCTCTGAATAATAGTTTTAGTAACTCCACACCTCCTCCTAATTTCCACACTACAAATTCTCTGCATAATATTTACACCACACACTGCCCTTAGACATGACATCTCCACTGCCTCCAGCCTCTTTCTCGCTGCAGCATTCACAACCCATGCTTCACGCCCATATAAGTGTGTTGTTGCCTCCATGGATAATTTTTACACTCTTTTGTCCTCTTTGCCTTTCTACAAAGGAACTATGCATGCTCTCTGCCAATCCCTAGGTACCTTACCCTCTTCTATACATGTTTTAAATAAAAGCACCCATCACTCCAAAACTATATCCCAACCTGCTTTTAACATTTCTGTCTTTATCCCATCAATCCAAGCTGCTTTATCCCCTTTCATTCTACCTACTGCCTCACGCATCTTCCCCACACTCACAACTGGCTCTTCCTCACTCCTACAAGATGTTATAAATTCATTATTTACAAATCAAATGCTACTAAGAAAGAAGAATTATAATAAACACAAAAACTGAAGACTTACTTCATTTTCAAACTCCTCTTCCTTCTTGATGACATTAACACCATTGGAAATTTGTTGCATCACTCCTCCCACAGATGTCAAGTCCCGGTCCACTATCTGACCGATTCCTCCACTAACTATCTGACTCATGCCATTATCCACAATTTGTGCCACCATTGTTCCAGCCACATCATGTTGTATTAGCCCATCAGGAATGGTCACATGGTTCATGTCCTCTGTGGTCACCTGATCCATTCTTCCCTGTTGGGCAATGGGGTCACTGCTGTCTTTAGTATCTAGACCAATCTGCATTATACCTTGAGAGTCTGTCAGCACTGAGGTGCAGAGGTTTAATGGAGGAGCTGCAGCACCCAATTCAAAGACTGCAGGATGAGTTCCCTCCCCTAGAAGCAAGGTTCTTAATTACAAACAATTTTACAACAGAAATAATAAATTAAAAGAATAAATGTGGAAGAAAACAGGAAAGAATAGACATTGTAACTTTCCTGAATCTATTCTTTCAATTGAAACAATAAGACTAACCATACCTCAAATGCTTTCAAAATGCTACCTAAAGATGTGTCCCTGGAGTATACCTGGAGGGGGTTCCGGGGGTCAATGCCCCCATGGCCTGGTCTGAGACCAGGCCTCGTGGTGGATCAGAGTTTGATCAACCAAGCTGTTAATGCTGGTCACACGCAAACTGATGTTTGAACAAGAGCTCAGCTGGTCAGGTACTGGCTTTAAGTGCCTGTCCAATGCCTTCTTGAAGACAGCCAGGGGTCTGTTGGTAATCCCCCTTATGTATGCTGGGAGGCAGTTGAACAGTCTTGGGCCCCTGGCACTTATTGTGTTGTCTCTCGGTATACTCACGGCACCCCTGCTTTTCATTGGGGGAATGTTGCATCTCCTGCCGAGTCTTTTGCTTTCATAGGGAGTGATTTTCATATGGAAGTTTGGTACTAATCCCTCTAGGATTTTCCATGTGTAATTATCATACATCTTTCTTGCCTGCATTCCAGGGAATACAAATCAAAGGACTTCAACCATTCCCAGTAATTTAGGTGCTTTATTGTACTTGTGTGTGCTGTGAAAGTTCTTTGTACACACTCCAGGTCAGCAATTTTGCCTACCCTGAAGGGGGCAGTTAATGTACAGTAGTATTCCAGCCTAGAGAGAACAAGTGATTTGAAGAGAATCATAATGGGCTTGGCATCCCTAGTTTTGAAGGTTCTCATTATCCATCCTATCATTTTCTAGAAGATGAGGTAGATGCACTGTTGTGGTCCTTGAAGGCGAGATCCTCTGACATTATGACTCCCAGGCCTTTCACAGTACTTCCCTGCTCTACTGTATGGTTAGAATCTGTTGTACACCCTGATAAAGTTTTAATTTCCTCAAGTTTTCCATATCTGAGTAGTTGGAATTTCTCTTCATTGAACTTTATATTTTGAGTGGCCCACTTGAAGATTTGGTTGATGTCCGCTTGGAGTCTTGAGGTGTCTTCGATGGAGGACACTGTCATGGCAATTCAGGTGTCATCCGCAAAGGAAGACATGGAGCTATGGCTTACATCTCTGTCTATGTCAGATATGAAGATGAGGAATAGGATGGGAGCAAGTACTGTGCCTTGTGGAACAGAGCTTTTTACCGTAGCTGCTTCTAGACGTTACTATGTTTACTATAACTCTGTGTTCTATTTGTTAGGAAGTTATAGATCCATCTACCAACTTTTCCTATTATTCATTTATCACGCATTTTGTGTGCTATTACACCATAGTCGCACCTGTCAAAGGCTTTTGCTAAGTCTGAGTATACTACATCTGCATTTTGTTTATCTTCTATAGCATCCAGGACCTTGTCATAATAGTCCAGTAGCTGGAGCAGGCAGGAGCGACCTGCTCTAAACTTGTGTTGCCCTGGGTTGGGTAACTGATGGGTATCTAGATGGTTGGCAATTTTGCTTCTTAGAACCCTTCCTCTCCATAGAATGCTGAAGGCATGTGACAGGGGCTTCTTGCAGTTCTTGATGAACACAGAGTTCCACGAGTCTGGAACTAATGAAGAGTGCATGGGCATGTCATTTATTGCCTTTTGAGAGTCTTGTGGTGTTAGGATAATATCAGAGATTTTTGAGATTACCAAATTTTGGGTCTCGTTCATAAAGAATTTATTTAGATTTTTGACCCTTAGTCTGGGTAACGGCTCGCTGAACACCGAGTCGTTTTGGGACTTTAGTATCTCACTTATTTCTTTGCTGTCACCTGTGTAGGTCCCATGTCGCTTAAACAGGGGCCCAATACTGGATGTTGTTTTACCCTTATATTTGCCATGAGAGAAGTATTTTGTTTTTTTTGTTTTGTTTTTCAATTTCCTTTATGACTTTTAGTTCTTCCTGAGATTCTTGTCTCCTGTAAGATTCATTTTGCTTAAATTCGATATTTGCTATTTCTCTGATCAATGCCTCCCTTCGTATTTCAGATATATTGGCCCCTCTCAGCAGCTTTGTGATTCTTTACCTTTGTCTGTATAGGAAGTGTCTCTTTCAAGTTTACAGCTTGTTTTTCTCTTTCTTAAACACAGTCACAAACTAAAAAGCAAAAACAAAATATCAGCAAACAGCAGATGCATGTGTGAACACTACAAGTGCTGAGACACAACTGATGCCTGCTATCCTGGTTGTCAGTGACTGATGCTCCACACTCACGAAAAAACTTCGGTTTTCGGAACTTTCGACTTTCAGAATTTTGGATAGAGGAATGTGGACCTGTACAAACGATAAGAAGTGTAACCTAACAGAACCTACTTATCCCAACCTAAAATTACTTAATATAATTTAACCTCTCACTGCCACCAGTCTCTGTTTTTTACCTATGATTAACAAGGCCTCAATATCATGTGTTAGTTGGTTCTGATATGTCACTTGAGCAATAGAAAGTATTATTTCCTTTAATCTCTCCAAAAATAACAATTTGCCCAAGAAATAACTGTTCATTCTGTGGGTAGATAGCTCATACATATCCACAGAGAAGCAGCCTTTAATTATAACCAAAGGGGGCTAAATCAACATTTATATTTTTAATCAGGGAGCAGTGCTAAACCAATGAAGTCCTATAATACCAGGGAAATGAATACTGCTCAGAAATCTATCCTTACCTCACCTATGGTGTTTGTGCATATGGATCAACAACAGTAAAACACCAAAAACCTGGATTATTCAAAGAGCAAAAATCTGCTCTGTCAATAATCATTCAGAATCAAGGCAGCACACACATTCTCTTTTCAAAAAGTTTAAATTTGTTTAACATACATACTACTGTTGCACTTACTACTGTGAATGCTAGGTATAAGAGCACCCAGTACAAACCTTAAGCCAGAGATTAAACTCCTTTTGGAGAGTTGCAACAGAACACATGGACACAATACAAGGAACAAGTATATCTCTGATACACTGTACCACATGACTCGACCTTTTCAGAAACTCCATGCAAATAAAAGGTCCAAAAATATGGAACTCACTGCCTGAAAATGCCAAAAGTTTCTTATGTACCAACAACTTTAATAATATTGTTAAAAACTTTATTACATTTTACTTAAGATTATATCCTAAGTAAATGCCTGTAAATATTCAGGCTTATAATTCTACCAGTCACCAATATAATTCTACCACTCCATAAAATGCACATCAACAATCTGATATAAATTCATTGTAAATTAATGTCTGAAATTATATGCTACAACTAGAATTAACCCTTTCAGGGTCCAGACCCCCGATGTGAAACTTGTCCACAGGATTCAAGAATTTTCAAAAGTTTTTTTTTTTGTTATTTTGTCTTATGAAATGGTAAAGAATATTTTTCTGAAGGTAATAAAACAAAAAGTATGAAATCTGATGGAAAACCGACGAAATTACGCTCTCGTGAATTTTGCTAGGTCAGTGACATTCACGCATCTGCGATTTTCCCCACTTTGAATCCCATTTTAGGCCGATTACATTATTCCAGTCGACCAAAGTCTGAACTATTTCACTAGTATTACTTCTATTTTATCGCTGAGCACAAGAAATCACCCACTCAACTATTTCAACTACCCAATAGTGACTGGAATTCGGTAATTTGGCCAATTTCACAAAAAGTTCAAAATATTCAAATTTCAAAATAGGGTCCAGAATAAACAATCCAGGCATTCCTGGCACTAAAATAACATTATGTTTTCAGGCTTTACAAATGAGTTCAACTTTGATTTTTTATCCATATAATGAATTTTTATTCATACCAAAAAATAGAAGATTTACTGTTATGCAATATTGTAATAATTGTATAAATAATATCGGTGCATTAGACCCACCAGTTGACGTGTATTGGATGCATAACGACATTTATTTACATTTGAACATCGGCAAAAATTGAACATTTCCGCTACTTTGAGCTCAGTTTCAAGCCATTTTCACCACTAAACCTAATCAAAATTATCTCTATTTCTGTAATATATCTTCCATTCTATCAACTGAGACCAAGAAACTGTGAATAGAACCCTAAAAAGCATACATAAATATACCACAGTCACTATTTTAATAAAAAAACACTGCTTTAATTAAAGTGTTTTAATAAAAAAAAAAATGGCTTATCTGAGTGAGCTGAGCTCATGGCATAGAACTACGGCTTGGATCCTGGCTTCAAAGCCATAGAACTACAGGACGGACCCTCAAAGGGTTAAGTAATATGTAAGTTTTAGGATTAGTTTGCTTGAAAGGCTAAGCATAACAAAAGCTTTCTTTTTAACATGCAGTTTTACGAAATAACATTTATACAGGTCAGCCATCACTAATCCGGCATCACTGGGACCTGGAGTGTGCCGTATTAGTGAGTTTGCCGGATTACAGAGTGGTTAGGTTAGAATACACTTAATTAACCTATCATTTTCATCACTGCTTTCTCCTCCACTGGCTTGCTGCTGTGGATTTACAACCATCTGCACAATTTCTGAGTCAGTATAATGATGAAATTTGAGTCGGTAATGAAATGAGTCAGTATAATGAAATCTGAAATTATGCTAGCCGAAATTAATGCTGAATTACTGACAGAACCGGATAACTGATTCCCGGATTAGTGATGGCCAACCTGTATTGTAACTGTATAACAGGAGCAAAAGGCTAGTAACCCCTTGTCGTATATAAATTATTAAATGCAAAGAGAAGAAAAACTTTTGTTTCTTCTTTGGGTTACCCTGCCTCAGTGGGAGATGGCTGGTGTGTTGAAAGAAAACAGAACTGTATAAAAATGTAATCAAATGAGCTGTAGTCTTTTATGTAACTCCTCTATGTTCATAAGAAATATTTTTTTTAACACTACTTCCACCAAGGCAAGGTGACCCAACAAAGAAAATACTTTCAATGTCACTCATTTAATCACTGTGTTGCCAGAAGTGCATTGACATTACAGTTCAGATGACTCTGACTGCATCCCCATCCCTTCTTTAGACTGCAGGCACTGCAGTTCCCACCTCCAGGACTCAAGTTTGGTTAACTGGTTTCCCCAAATCCATTCATAAATGTTTCAGTGTTCACACTCCAACAGCATGTCAGATCATTAAAAACCACATGCCACCACTCATTCTTTTCTACCAAGCTCACACAAGCTCCTCACCAGTATCGAGGCACCTCCCTATAGGGGCTTAAATTAATAGAATGCCACAATAAACCACCACCACTTGCAGCAATGTATCAAGGTGTTGGTACCATCCAATCAGTTAAGAATCTACAATGTGTTGCATTTATTATTCAGATATCCTTCAACCATTTTAGCTTTTAAAATAAACATTTGATTTTACAGACATCGGAAATACGAGACAAAATCCGCCAACTTATTAAATTGGAAAAGAACAAAGTCCATTGGTTACAGAATTGAACGTTCTTGTTACAATTAGAGTTAAAAAGAAAAAATTATCTCAATCACAATCATCATTACTGGCTACTCATTCCCCCCTCCCCCCCACTAGTCCATTGAAGCAAGTGTTAACTATGTACAAGGCATTTCTGTAGAAAAACATTTCTTCACTAACAAAAAAAAAAGTGCACATCTTATTTATGCTTATTGTAATATCTAATAAAAAAAATTCTGCAACAGAAAAAAAGTGATATAATTCAACTTACCTGCCATACTTGACCACTGTGATGAATCACTCTGCTTTAGTACATGCCATCTGATGAAAGAAGAACTCGTGTAGAATTACTAAAGAAATAGTAATTTGACTGAATGAATGCCATATCCTTAGAAATATCCTTGAAATATTATTAGAAAATACTAGAAAATCCTTAGGAAATTTTTTGATTTACACTGTGCAAGTATTTGGTTAAGCATATAATATTAATGTGTATTATCATTCATAGCTGGGATGATGACACTCTCTGTCTCCTTTATTCCCTACATTCTTATACATTCCCATTTTTTGCTTCTATGGATTACAGATTTCTCAACGCACCATTAACCAATTTTTTTCACCCTCATCAATTCTATGATTCACCTTGTCTTTCATAGACCCATCTTCTGACAAGTCCACACACAAATATCTGAAAACATTCATTTCCTCTATGCTCTCTCCTTCCAATCTGATATCCAATCTTTTATTAACTAAAGTTTTTTGTTACCCTCATCACCTTGCTCATTCCAATGTTCACTTTTAATTTCCTTCTTTTACATACCCTCCCAAATTCATCCACCAACCTTAGGAAATTCCCTTCAAAATCTCCCAAAAGTAGTGTTATCGGTAAAAAGCAACTGTGACAACTCTCACTTTGTTAGATTCTTTATCTAGCAATCCCACAACTTTCCCCAACACCCCAGCATTCACCTCTCTTACAAGCCCATCTATAAATATATTAAACAACCATGGTGACGTCGCACATCCCTGTCAAAGGCCTACTTTTAGAGAAAAATAATCTGCCTCTCTCCTACATACCTTAACCTGCACCTCACTATCCTTGAAAAGCTCTTAAGTGGTTTCATTAACCTATCACCTATTCCATACATTTGCAACATATGCCCCTATCCACCCTGTTATATGACTTTTCCACATCTATAAATGCCACAAAATAGTCTTTACTCTTATCTAAATACTGTTCACTTGTATGTTTCAATGTAAACACATGGTCTACACATCCTTTACCCTTCCTAAAGCCTCCTTGTTCATATGTGATCATGCTCTCCGTCTTATCCTTAATTACTTCAATAACTACTGTACACCTTACCAGGTAGGTATACTCAACAGACTTTTTTTTTTTTTTAACAAGTCGGCCGTCTCCCACCGAGGCAGGGTGACCCAAAAAGAAAGAAAATCCCCAAAAAGAAAAATACTTTCATCATCATTGAACACTTTCACCTCACTCACACATAATCACTGTTTTTGCAGAGGTGCTCAGAATACAACAGTTTAGAAGTATATACATATAGAGATACACAACATATCCCTCCAAACTGCCAATATCCCAAACCCCTCCTTTAAAGTGCAGGCATTGTACTTCCCATTTCCAGGACTCAAGTCCAGCTATATAAAACAACCGGTTTTCCTGAATCCCTTCACTAAATATTACCCTGCTCACACTCCAGCAGACTGTCAGGCTCCAAATATCATTTGTCTCCATTCACTACTATCTAACATGCTCACGCACACTTGCTGGAAGTCCAAGCCCCTCGCCCACAAAACCTCCTTTACCTCCTCCCCCCAACCTTTGCAAGGACGACCCCTACCCCGCCTTCCTTCCCGTATAATGCTTAAACTCTTTTGTCCCTGGTGCCTTTATACAAAGGAACTATACATGCTCTTTGCCAATCCCTAGGTACCTTCCCTTCTTTCATACACTTATTAAATAAAAGCACTTTCCATGTATGCACATGTCTGTCTATCTAGAAAAAAAAAAAAAAAAAACAGCAACTCAGGACAACTGCTGGAGGTATGAAAGGCAGCACAAACACACAGGTAGCATTAAACTAAAGACCAATGTCACTGACGTGTATACAGTAAAAGCCCCATATCCACAGATTCAGTTATCCAGTTTACCATAGCCAAAAAATAACCCTTAATTTTGCTTAATAATGGCCCAAAGCACAAAACTAGTGATAGTGGCAGTTCTTTAAAGCCTAACAGAAGCTGTGAAGGGCTTTCCATCGGTGAAAAAAGAGCTAATTCTTGACTTATTGTGAGCAATTTATCAATTAAACTTTATCAAAGGCATGTATGTAAATGAAAAATGACATATATAGGATTTGCTACTATCTGCAGTTTTGGATATCCACGGGAGGTCTTGGAACGTATCCCCCGCCAAAACGGGGGAACTACTGTAGTATGCAAGATTATGGAGATTATCAGGAGAAGAATGGTGGAGTATCTAGTAATGGATTCATATATAACAACCAGCACATCTTAAGAGATGGTAAACCCTGTGTCACAAACTTGCTCGAGTTCTATGACAAGGTAACTCAAGGAAAGAGGGATGGGTAGATTGATTTTCTTGGATTGTAGGAAGGCTTTTGACACAGTGCTGCACAAGAAATTGGGTCAAAACCTAGAGAAGCAGGCAGGAATAACAGGGAAAGCACTACAATGGATCAAGGCATATTTGACAGGAAGGAAATGAGTGATGGTCCATGAAGAGGTGTCAGAATGGGTGCATGTATTGAGTGGGGTTCCAGAAGTATCAGTACTAGGGCCACTTCTATATTTTGTATACGTGAATGACATGATGAAAGGGAGACAGTCAGGGGTATCGGTGTTCATGGGTGATGTAAACTAATGAGGTGAATACAAACAGACATGGACCAGGAAAGGCAACAAATAGATCTGCACAGGCTGCAGGTCTGGTCTGACAAGAGGGTCCTGGGGTTTAACCACAGCAAGTACAAAGTTATGAAGCTTGGGAAAGGGCAAAGAAGCCTGCAGACAGTACAGGCTCAAGGGGCAAAGGGTGCAAACCCCACTCATGGAGAACATTAGAGTGAGTATTACACTGAGCATATCACCTGAGGCACAAATCAACCAAATAACTGCTGTAGAAAATGCACAATGACAAATCTAAGACTAGCTCTTAGAGATCTAAGTAAGGAGTCATTTATGACTTTATACATATATACCTTGTATGTCAGGCCCGTACTGGAGTATGCGGTACCAGTATGGAACCACACCTGGTCAAGCATGTCAAGAAATTGGAGAAAGCACATTTTGGGTTACAAGGGGGATGGGATATTATATCTATCCTAAATTTAAAGTAGTAACATTAAGACCTGAGAATGGCATCAGGTAGGGTAGGCTCCAAAACCTGGTGGTCCCTGGTCAAGGACAGACAAGGTTATCTGCCTGATGAACTTATTCCACCTCTAAATCGACAGGATGGGACCACCTCTACTAGTAGTCAAGAGAAGGCGGACCTCTTTGCTGAACACTTTGCTACCAAAATGCAAGTTCCTGATCCAGCAAGGGACCCTCCTTGGCTAGCTGCAAGAACTGTATCAAAACTGTCAGTGGTGACAATAAGGCAGGAGGTGCATTACCTTCTTAAATCGCTTCACCAAGAAAAGTCTGTGGGCCCAGACAAGTTGAGCCGAAGATTGTTGAGAAGATGTGCAGACCAGCTAGCAGCACCTCTAACTCGCATCTTTCAGCACTGCCTAGTACAGTGTAAATGGCCCTCTCTATGGAAAGAGGCAAATGTAGTCCCTGTTCACAAAAAGAAGAGCAGAGCAGAAATCAGCAACTACAGACCAGTGTCACTCCTGTCAATCACTGGTAAGATCCTTGAGACAATAATCTCAAGACAAATGACAGAGTTTTTTGACTACCACTCACTACTTTGTGATCGTCAATATGGCTTCAGGAAAGGTTACTCTGCTGCTGATCTGTTATTAAACCTCTCCACTAAGTGGCACCAGTCAGTGGATGAATCCAAAGTCAGCTGTGTGGTAGCACTGGACATTGCTGGCGCTTTCGACCGGGTGTGGCACCAGGGCCTCTTAGCAAAACTTCAAGCACTGGGAATTGCAGGCTCTACGCTGTGTCTTCTCAGTGATTACCTTCATGGTAGATCTCTAAGTGTAGTTCTCAATGGAACGGAATCAGCAAGACATCCTATTGGGGCAAGTGTTCCACAAGGAAGCGTGCTGGGTCCATTGTTATGGAATGTCTATTTCAACGACCTTCTTCATCTCATCCCAGAATCACATGCATATGCAGACGACTGTACACTGACATTCACTTATCCAAGAGAAGAAATGCCAGCTGCTCTAAGCTACATCAATCACCAGCTGAGAGCTATATCAGCTTGGGGAAATAGATGGCAAGTAACATTTGCACCTGAGAAAACGCAAATGATGATCGTCTCTAGGCACCATGATGGTAATGCTGGTGCAGTAGTAAGGATGAATGGGAGAGTGTTGGCAACTGGAGAAGTTGATATCCTTGGGGTGAAATTTGACTCCAAACTAACCATGAAGAACCATGTTGTAAATCTTGCAAACAAGGCAGCCAGGACGCTTACAGCACTTCGCCGTATCTCGCATCTGCTTGACAGTAGGGGTTGCAAGATCCTGTACGAGGCACAAGTACGCTCACACCTTGAGTATGCTCCACTTTCTTGGTTTGCCTGCCCCCCCTCTCATCTGCGACTGCTTGACAGAGTAGAGAACAGAGCAAGACGTCTCATCTCTCACCTGGACCCATCTTGGATAGATCTGTCATTTCAGCAGAGCCTTCAACATAGGAGGGATGTGGGTGGCCTTACTGTTATGTACAAGGCCAATATTGTCAAAATACCACACTTGGATCCACTTCGAGGACAGCATGAAACAAGCTTTTATGCCACAAGACGGGCAGAAAGCAGCAACTTCACTCTGGCTGTACCCTTCTCCAGAACATCACTCCATCTGAGATCATACATACCCAGGATGACTTGAGTATGGAACACATTCGTACAGCATAATGATGTCAACGAGATAAAGTCAGTTGATCAAATGAAAATGCTGGCCCACAGATGGCTCCAACTTCATCCTGTTCCCTACTTGTATGTCTCATAACAATTAAAATGCTTTCAAATGAGCTGATGTAGGTAACAGCTCTTAGCTTGCCATTAAAGTTAGGAATCCTAACCTGTAAATAGCTTGTCAATAAAGCTAGGGATCCTTAACCTTTTCAAACCCTGTGTAAAAAAAAAAAAAAAAAAAAAAAATGGCAAGTCACCAAGCAACACTGCCAGAGAAGATGATCTTGCATGTTCTCTGATCATAAGATTGAACCCAAGTATCACATAGCATCACTTGAATTTCTAGGGCGGTTGAAGAGGGGTGGAAAAAAAAATCTGTAAATGAATGCAAATGATCTCTTTGATGCTTCAAACCCAATAGTCAGTCAGAAGCCTACAATAATTTTCTACTAGTGAATAGTTTGCCCATCCAGTATACAAATTTAGTAAAACTATCAGTAGGTATGAATCTAACAACTTAACCAAGCCTAACCTAAACCTAAATTATGTTGTTGGATAACTCTTGGTTATACTTTAACAAGTCATTGAACATGCCACCTGGATAACTTGCTGATGTCGGCGATCTGATAAGTCGATGACTTCGCCTGACACCCCATACATTTTTGAGTAGCCGTTGATATATTTTTTGAAGTCGCCGACTAGCTGGCAGAATAATTCACTGATGATGGTTATTTTGAAATGGCAGAGTGTTCTCCTGATACCAAAAGAAAAAATATTTGTTAATGTCTGAAAAGTCAGACACCATTTTTACAGTATTTACCAAAAAGTAAAAAATCTTCACCGTATTACTGAAATATAAAAAGAAAATAAATTTATTCATCATTAAAATTGAGGCTTAAGTAAATTTGTTTAGTTACAGATACACACAAGTACAATTATCATATATAGCTTAATATGTGTAAATCACCTAGGACAACCCAAAAAAGTCAAAAAGTGACTTATTAGCAATGGGCTCCTTGTAATAACTCAATACTTATTTAAAGCTTAGCTATAAAGTACAGTAAAAATTAGTCACAATTATAACCTTAAAAATTAAAACAGCTAAGTAACTGAACTTTGTGAAAATCAGTTACAGTAAAAGGAGACACTAGGAATAAAGTGAACTGAATTATTTACATAAAAACGTTCAGCTTACAATAACAGGTACACTAATGTTAACTATACAAGAAATCCCTTTCCTCCCTTTCTGTAGCTTCATTCATTAGGTACATTTTAGCTCTCTTCCTGAAGTGGATCATGCTAGGACAAGCTCTGACATGTGCAGGCACTCTATTTCATTCTTTTATTGCTATATAGTAAAAGGTGTTTAAAGCCTGACCACCTACTGTAGGTACTACAAAACTGTTCACTTCCCTTAGTATCATACCTCTGAAGAATTACCTTTGAAGAATTTCAAGAGTATATCTACTCTCTGAGCCCGGCCATGGGCCAGGCTCGTCTGGTGCTCGCCTGGTCAATCAGGCTGTTGCTGCTAGAGGCCCATGGCCCCACATATCCATCACAGCCTGGTTGATCTGGCACCTGGTGAAGATACTTGTCTAGTTTCCTCTTGAAGGCTCCATACTGGTTTTGGTTCCCAACCTTGACAAATTTGGCAGCCAGATACTCTGGACACTGCTTGTGAGCAATTTTATAAAAATGATTCAACTTCAGTTGCTTTACTCCGTCTTCCACTACTAAAATCTAACAATATCACTATGTACTCAATAACAAAGATGTCCATTATCTATTTATAAATGAGACATTTGTCTGGCTACAAATATGATGGATTCAATGTTGAACAGGTATAATGACCCCCATATACACAATACACAAATAACCTGCACATAAAAGAGAGAAGCTTACGACGACGTTTCGGTCCGACTTGGACCCCCATATGCAGAACAATCCTTCACTGGGTCATGTTTTGCACACGGCTGACCAAAATGTAGCCCCAATAAAAGTTGGTTTTTGCATACTGTGTCTTCACACTTGTACCTATTAGAATCATGACTTTACATCCAAATTCAGCATTTTCATAAGAACTGCAAACTTTATATAAAAATGCAAAGTAAATTTCCTTTCTTATTTTAACTTTGAAGTTTGGTATTGTTTAGTTTTAGATGGTATCAATATATTAAAGCTATAATAACCGAAAAGAGGAATAAATTACATATATTAAAGACTGTAAGAACACTTCAGTTACAGTATAATTCTGTGAAATGAGAAAAGTTACAATGTTAAATTAGAGATATATGTAGCCAGCGCTTGTTATAATTCTTACGGTTTATTTGAGATATAAGGACCCCATAAGCACGTTTTTTCGTGTATACTAATATGTAATATGAGCTACGGCAATAAAAAAAGATAATTTTTCAAGGTTAAATAACGTAGGTCTACGCAAGTGGCAGATACAAAGGCTGGGTCAAATGTACCTCAGGGTAGAGTAATTGTACAGTGAACACTCTTCTGCACTCACCTGACAGCTGGTCTCAGCCTGCAGGGCTCTCAGGGGCTGTGGTAGTAAGGAGGAAGGTGAGAGAGGCTGGAGAGAGGCAGGAACAAGAGACTCACAGTGGCAGCAACACTTCTCCTCACGATGTAAACAAACTCACACAGATGGAGTCAAATGAGCTCTACTCAGCCTCACTCATAACACATTAAATAATAGAAGAACCATCCATTAGTGGCGTGAATAGTTTACTTCGACTTATTTTCATCATTGCTTTTTGTTTTAGTAACACGGTATACAATATCCCACTGATATAGCGGTTATAGAGGCTCATTATATACATGACGCCATGCCAGATGAAAATTTTTTTGTTTATTCTATTTATTGAGAAGCCACAGTTAACGTTAATGATTTATAGCAATATAGCGAGCATAATAAAACGATCTGCACACAATTAATGTTAATTGACATTAATTGTATTATGACATAATTAATGTATGGCGACAATATCAGGATATTCTGTATTGATTTGTACACTTGGCAACGGGTGGTGCCATCCCGGCCGCCCGAGAACACCCGCTGCCACCCACCTCATAAATCAATATAATTAGCACGTATGATTTCCTCACTCGCTTCATAAGCATCTTGAGATTGTTATCGGTAACTTCAAGGAATTTTCCTGCAAGTTATACCTTCATGGTCTCGTGGTTCTGGTATATAATGCGACAAATTATCGCACCTTGTCATGGCACTCTGCACAGTCTGGCGCGAATTTCAAATGTGCGACAACTTTGCGGAATAATAATAATAATACTAATAATAATAACAACAATAATAGTCTTTATTTTTATAAGTACATGATACAACTTATACAGACCATACCTGACATCAATGACATACTATATAGAAAGTCCCTGGTTATGCAGAGCATTTCAGGCAACTTAAGTTAATATTGTCCCCCAGGATGCGACCCACACCAGTCGACTAACTCTCAGGCACGTACTTCTGCTAGGTGAACAGGGACAGCAGGTGTAAGGAAACGCACCCAATGTTTCCACCCGTACCGGGGATCGAACCACGGACACTTAATGTGTGAGCTGAATGTACTACCAACCGAGCTACAGAATACTGACAGTGTTGTCGTAGTCACGACAGGAATACTAAGTGTTCATATAGGGTGGTAGTACGCTCATGTGCATGTGTCTGTGCGTGCGCCCTCGTGTGTGTATGTGTGGGCGCGCGCGCTCGTGTGGGTGTATGACCCACTTAATATTTGTATTTATAACTCATTACAATTGTGACCAGGTGTGGACGTATCAGTGGCTCATTACTTTGTAATTTGTTCATGACTGTAACCATGTATAGGAGTGAGGCTGATTCATTACCTTTGTAACTTGCCATGATTGTGACCAGATCTACCTGGAATTCATTACCTTTGTAACTAGTTCAGCTATCATAACTTTGGGGTCCAGTCCAAGTCCATGATGACACTCTTCAGGTCACTTGTTTTATCTAGGCTGGAATATTGCTGCACACTAACAGCACCTTTCAAGGCAGGTGAAATTGCTGACCTAGAAAATGTACAGAGAACCTTCACGGCGCGCATAACGGAGATAAAACACCTAAATTACTGGGAGCGCTTGAGGTTCCTAAACCTGTATTCCCTGGAACGCAGGCGGGAGAGATACATGATTATATACACCTGGAAAATCCTAGAGGGACTAGTACCGAACTTGCACACGAAAATCACTCACTACGAAAGCAAAAGACTTGGCAGACGATGCAACATCCCCCCAATGAAAAGCAGGGGTGTCACTAGCACGTTAAGAGACCATACAATAAGTGTCAGGGGCCCGAGACTGTTCAACTGCCTCCCAGCATACATAAGGGGGATTACCAATAGACCCCTGGCAGTCTTCAAGCTGGCACTGGACAAGCACCTAAAGTCGGTTCCTGACCAGCCGGGCTGTGGCTCGTACGTTGGTTTGCGTGCAGCCAGCAGTAACAGCAGTAGTCTCTTGATTTGTACTCCTTGGAATGCAGGTGAGAAAGGTACATGATAATGTACACTTGGAAAATCCTAGAGGTATTAGTCCCAAATCTGCACGTGATAATCACTCCCTACCTGTATGAGGAAATGACATCTATAATAAAATCAAGAACTCCAATAAAACATCCTTCTTGAAAGACGTCAGCATGGTATGACAGCTGGGAAAAAAAGATGGGTGGTAGGGACGGGGCTGTCTTGGATAGTGCTCCTGAGGGTGCTAGTGCTGTCCTGGAGGAGAGTGCTGAAGATGCTAGTGTTGTCCTGGAGGAAAATGTTCCAGAGGGTCCTAGTGATGTCTTAGAAGATAGAACTTGTGAGGGTACTAGTGTTGTCCTGGAGGACACCGAAGACAACCTTATTCAGTCCACAGAGGTTTAAAATAGAGATACTGCTGGAGATTGATCAAAATGGGATGATGCCTCAGGGAACAGTGTCGACACACTACCAGCAAAACCTGGTGGAAGCACTGATGTCCATACAGGGGTAAAAGATATTGAGGAAACAGGAAAAATGAATGCACCAGCAGTGAACGCAGCTACAATAAATCCTAGCAAACAGAAATACAATCTATGTAAATACTATGCCTTGGGTATCTGCAGGCAAGGTATATCTGGTAAAACAGGTGGAACATGCACCTTTGACCATCCCAAAAAATGCCGCACCCACATGACAACAGGAGAGTGCAACTTCCTTTCTTGCAACCTATTTCACCCAAAAATGTGTTACTCATCAATCCATGAAAGAAAATGCTGTAATGCATACTGCCAGGCACATCATCTAAAGGGAACTAGAAGACACAGACCAGCCAGACTATGGGGAACAAAAGAGAGGACCCACAACCTCCCCAGGGGCAGAGGTCTTTTAGGGCCAGAAGGGACAAAAGTCTGGCAAGAAATGACAATAATCCTACACCACCTGAAAACACTTCTGGAGCAGAGGCACGGACATTGGCCTCTACCCCAGAACAACAGATATTAGAGCCAGCAAATAAAACCCCCCTAAATTCCACCAATACGACATTTGTCTTTGCAAACATACAGGGTCTAAAGCCGTCAAAAATCAACAAAATTCCTTACATCAAGGGACTGCTCACGGAGTCAAATGCAATGTTTGCAGCATTCATAGAGACCTATATAAAGGATCATTATGGCAACGAAATATGGATCCCTGGTTATAACCTATTCCGATGCGACAGACTAAACAGGCAACAAGGGTGGTTGGCCTGTATGTCACAGAGTCGCTCATTTGGACAGAACTGCTAAACACCTCAAATGATGTAGTTGAAGTTTTGGCGGTAAAGATCGAAAACCAAAATCTTGTCATTGTGGTAGTATACAAGCCTCCAGATGCAACTTCCCAGCAATTCCAGGAGCAGCTTGAGAAAATTGACCACTGTCTGGAAAATCTCCCAAATCCTGCCCCAAACATTTTGCTACTAGGAGATTTCAACCTGAGACACCTAAAATGGAGGAGTATAGCCAACAATGTTTTAGCAGAGATCACCCCGGGAGGCAGCTCATGAAAATTCACACACACACGAACTATTAAATCTCTGCAACAAATTCACCTTAAACCAGCAAATAGTTGAGCCTACAAGAATAGAAAATACGCTGGACCTCATCTTCACTAACAATGATGATCTGAAACGTAATATAAATGTATCACGGACAATACACTCATAAAAGAAGTACAGACATGTATTCACAGAGCTCCTGACCAACAAAATGTGAGCAGTCATGAAGGACTCTTAACGAAATTCAATTTCAATAACTAAAACATACAATGGGACCAAGTAAACCAAGTCCTAACTGAAACAAGCTGGGAAGATATCCTAAACAGCACGGACCCGAACATCTACTTTTAAAAAATGAATTCTGTGGTTCTTGAAATCTGCTCAAGGCACATTCCATTAAGAAAAAGAAAGAGAAGATGTAAACTAGAAAGAGAGAGACACTCCTTATACAGACAAAGGCAAAGAGTCACAGAGCTGCTGAGTGAGGTCAATATATCTGAAATACGAAGGGAGGCACTAGTCAATGAAATTGTAAATATCGAACTTAAGCTGAAGGAATCTTATAGGAGACAAGAATCACAGGAAGAACTAAAAGCCATAAAAGAAATTGAAAAAAAAATACTTCTTCTCTTATGCCAAATCTAAGGAAAAAACAACATCCAGTATTAGGCCCCTGCTTAGGCGGGATGGGACATACACAGATGACAGCCAAGAAATGAGTGAGATACTAAAGTCCCAATATGACTCAGTGTTCAGCGAGCCACTGCCCACTCTGAGGGTCGACAATCCAAATGAATTCTTTATGAACGAAACACAAAATTTGGTCATCCCGAAACTCGAGGATATTATTATAACTCCACAAGATTTTGAAGACTCAATTAATTAATGACATGCTCATTCGCTCTGCCCCAGGCCCAGACTCGTGGAACTCCGTGTTCATCAAGAACTGCAAGAAGCCCCTATTGCGTGCCTTCAGCATTTTATGGAGAGGGAGCATGGACACAGGGATCATCCCACACACACTAAAAACAACAGACATAGCCCCACTCCACAAAGGTGACAGTAAAGCAATTGCAAAGAACTGCAGACCGATAGCACTAACATCCCATATCATAAAAATCTTTGAGAGGGTTCTAAGAAGCAAGATCGCCAACCACCTAGATACCCATCAGTTACACAACCCAGGACAACTCGGGTATAGCAGGTCGCTCCTGCCTGTCCCAGCTACTGGACCACTGTGACAAGGTCCTGGATGCTGTAGAGGATAAACAAAATACAGATGTAGTATACACAGACTTTGTAAAAGCTTTCGACTAGTGTGACCATGGTGTAATAACACAAAATGCGGGATATATGAATAACGGGAAAAGTTGATGGATGGATATACAACTTACTGACAAACAGAACACAAAGATTAATAGTAAACAGGGTAAAGTCTCAGGCAGCCACGGTAAAAAGCTCTGATCCACAAGGCACAGTACTCGCTCCCATTCTATTCCTCATCTTCATTTCTGACATAGACAGAGATGTAAGCCATAGCCATAGCCTCCGGATGCAACATCCCAGCAATTCCAGGAACAGCTGTTAAAAATTGACCACTGTCTGGAAAATCTTCCAGCTC